GAGTTGGTCTCTGCGGTCGTGTAGTAACCGCCGAGCTGGGCGAGCACCCAGGACTCGCTGGCTTTCGGGAGCGTATGCATCGCAGGTGAAGCTCAGAGTCCAATTGTCATTTGCCAGCTGGATGCTCAGCGGCGCCACGGCGTGCAAGTTGCGCACCGTGTTTGTTCCGGCCAGCAGGTCCCAGGTCACATTCGCCGGCCAGGCGGGTGCGTTGACGAGATTGGTGGCCCCGCCCAGGGTGGCGATCTCGGCCAGGAGCGCGTCGATGGCGGACTGCAGCGAGACCTGCAGGGCCGTCAGGTCCCCGCTGGTGGCGAAGGGCCCGGCATTCTGCAGCGCAAGGATGGCCGCGTCCGCGGCGTCCAGCCGGGAGTCCTGCAGCGCTTGCCCGGCGTCGTAAGCGCCCTGGGTGACGTACCCAAGCAGCGCCGTGGTCAGGTCCCCGCTCGTTTGGTAGCCGGCGCCCTGCAGAGCTGCAAGCAGCGCCTCGGCGGCGTCGAGCCGGCCGTCCCGCAGCGCCAGTGCGGCGTCCAGGGCCGTCTGCTGCACGTACTGCAGCAGGGCGTTTGCGATCTTGGTGTCCACGTCCAGCGGCGTGGTTCTGAGAGCGCCGTGAGGTCGCTGGTGCTGGCCATGGGGAGCAGCGCGGTGGCGATGGCCTGGTTGACGTCGCCTGCCGTCTGTCGGGCGGCGACGTCCAGGGCCAGCTGGTCCACGACGCTCTTCAGCGCGTACGTGGTTGCGACGCTGGCGAGCGTCGCGTTGTTCGCGGAGGCGATGCTGCTGTTCATCGCAGCATTCGTGGGATGGTTGGCCAGCTTGAGGTGCACCGAAGCGGGCGTGCTCTTAGAATCGACCTCGACCTGAAGAGCATCAAGGGCAGACTGGTTGGCCTTGGCGGCCAGGCCCTGGGTCAGGCTGGTGTTCACGGCCACCAACCCGGAAGCGTTTGCCAGGATGGAGCCCTCGGCTGCGGCGAGGTCCGCGGCCAGAGCATAAGGGGTTAGGTCCGGAGCTGCGGGCAGGGCGGCCACTTGGCCCTGCAGAGCTGCGATGGCAGCTGCGTTGACTCCGATGGCCGCGGTGTGTGCCGTGTGCTCCGTTTGCGGGGTATACGCTGTGAGCACCGTCGCCAGCTGTCCCGCACTGATCCCTTGCAATTCAATGACCGGCGGCTCCGTGACACCATCGTCCAAAATGCGTCCGGTGAGTGTGGAGGGAAAGAGTGACATGATTTACTGTACGGCCCGCGACACTGTGCGGGCCACCACGTCCCAGTCTTCCGCGACGGCGGGCAGCTCGCTGTCCTCGGCCGCCCGGTCGTAGAAGAGGAAGAGGCGCTGGAAGTGCCGCTCCGGCTCCTCTTGCAGAAGCCTGTGCAGTAGCTGCAGGAGCTTCGGGTGGCGCTCGGTCTTGGGAGTGCGCACTGTGCGACCCGCCACCTTGAAGGCGTCGGGGTTGTACCTGACGATGGCCAGCTTGTGCTGGCTGCCCAGGGCGACGCTCGCGACCATGTCGAAGTCGCGGCGCACGTCGCAGCTGGGGTCCTGGTGGGAGTGCTGGTTCTCGTCCACCTCGAGGATGATGGCGCCCCACGGAGCGTAGAGCACGAAGTCCGCCAAGGCACGGGTCGTCTCCGACTCGAGGCCACAGCCTCGGAAGGGCAGGTGGTGCTGGTACTCGAATTGGATGCCCGACTTGCTCAGGAGCTGGTGCACCTCCAGCTCTTTGCTCTTGGTCAGGGCTTTTGGGTTGTCGCCGTGGAAGCTGCGCGTGTGCCTCAGCAAAGCTGCTGCCTGAAAATCGGTGGCCCTGCATCCCGCAGCCTTCCACTTGGCAGGTGAAGTCATTGCACTCGCAACACGCGTGCTTGTGTCGCCCGTGCTCGCAGATCCTGCTACCACCGCAGTCTGGGCAGTCCTGCTTGCGTCGCCCGTGCGGGCAGAAGCTGCTGCCCCCGCAGTGTCTGCACTGCTGCCGTCGCCGCCCGTGCTCGCAGAAGCTACTGCCGCCGCAGTCGCGGCAACTCTGCCGTTGCCTGCCGTGCTCGCAGATGCTGGCGCCACCGCACTCGCGGCAGTAATTCTTTTGCCGCCCGTGCGGGCACTTCTTGCGGATCGTGCGTGTCGCCATGGTGGCTGTTTTGGTAGACTAAGGCACAGCCCCGCCCGCTGCCGCGAGCCCGCCTTAAGGCCCGGTGGCCGCTTGAACGCGCTAGTCGAGGACCGACACGCCACTGCCGCTGAGCGTACAAATTTGGAGACTTACGAGCGCTACAAAACACTGATCGACGCGGTCCGCGAGCATCGACTTGAATGTGAAGCGGCACAGGTCGCCTGAGCGCGTCGACAAACCGCTGGTGGGGTGGCGGGGGACACGCTCTGTGGGGAACGCGGCGATGAAGTTCGTGTTGTCGTAGTTCGGGAGGCGCATATTTCGGATCTTGGAGTCATACGTGCCGGCCATGATGGCGAGAAAATGGTGGTATTCGGCGATACTTTTGACACTATTTCTAGGGAATTGCATGGCCCCGAGCTGCAGCTGGCCCTCCATGACCGTGGCCGCCGAGACGTTCGGGAAGGCCTCCCCGGGATACTCCAGGTTGGAAATGTGGTTCTCGCCCGTCTTGTTGAAGTGCACGAAGGCTCCCAAAAGCTTCGTAAATGCCCTCGCGACGGTGATATTGTAGCTCGTCGAGCCCGCCGGCACGGAGCTCTGTTGCACGTGGAGGCTCGGGAAGCTGAAAATCAGCGATCTGTTGGACAACAATATGCGCTCGAAGCTCTCCCGGAGGGCACTATCAAGGGTCACCTGGTCGGCCAAAAGGTGCACGTTCTCGATCTGATACGACAGGCTGGAGCCCACGCCGGCGCGCATGGCCATCTCGGGCTCGGCGAACTCGATCTCCAGGACGAGATTTAGCTGCGGCGGGAGCATCTTGCCGCAGTTGAACATGCCGATCAGATGGGGGTGCATGAGCACGTCCCGCTTTTGCCCCGGCTGCACCGGCTGCGCCCAGCCGCCGGCGTCCACCGGAAGGCCCTCCCAGTGCAGCTCCTTCCACCAGTCTTCATTTTTGAGAAGGCTGTACATGAAGCAACTGCGCCCGTAGTAGCTGATGTCTTCCACCCGTTGCCCGTTGGCGAAGAGCTGGACCCTTTCGATGAAACACGAGGGGTCCGGCGAGCCGCAGAGCATGTCGCTGGAGCCGTCCGTGTTCCGGAAGCTGAAGGCCAGCTTAATCGATTCAGGATCAACAAAGTCCATTCCTGGCGTGATTGGGATCCGGCATACGCGGCTGGTGCTTGGCGTGAAGGTACTCAGGGAGCTCGGAAAGAACTGCACTGATTTTCTGGACTGAATGTAATTGGTGTTCCCTGTTTGGAGCTTGTAGTCGAGCGAGGCCACCAATTCGTCATTGACGGCTTGCGTAACCTGCTCCATCTCTCTTTACATACCTATGCAGCTTCCGGTTCGCTCGCCTGTCGAAGGGCGTCGAAGGACGGCTGGGTCCCGAGGGGTCCCCGGTCGCCGCGGGACTGCCGGCTGACGCGGGAGCGGTCGCTGCCGGACGACACTGGGATCGGGATGTTGTTCAATCCGAAAGGGGTTTGGGCCTGGGCCCTGGGGCGGCGCGCCGGTCGTGCGACGATGCGTTGCTGCGCCTGGGGCCGCGGCTCCTCGTCGGTGTCGCTGAGCGGGAAGACCTGGGGTCGCCGCGCGGGCTGCTGCCGGCGCTGCTCCTGGATGAAGTAGTGGTCGACGGCGCCCGACTCCTGCATGCCGTTCAGGGTCGCAAGGTCCGTGGTTTGGCTCGGCCGCGAGGCGTCTGAGTCCGTGCCGCCGCCCGTGGCTGCTCCCCAGCCCATCATGTGCGAAGCCGCGTTCAACCCTCCTTCGATGGCCCAGGCCGTTCCCACGATCGCTGCGCCTGCGCCCGCAACGGCCAGGCCTCCCGCCGCAGCGCCCACCGTGCCCGCGGCTGCGCCCAGGAGCGCAAGAGCTCCTCCGCCCGCTTCCGCCGCAGTTGCTGCTTCGGCAGCGCTCGCCGCAGCCTCCGCCGCCGTGGCAAAGCCTTCTGCCGCTTCTGCCTCCGCCACCTGCTGCGACGCAAAAGCCTCGATGTCTTGGGCGGCCGCACGCTCCGCCTCCGCGGCTCTCTGGCCCGCTCGCTCGAGCAGGGGCTCCACCTCGCTGGGCCTCCCGATGATGTTGGGCGGCGGGACCTCGTCCGGGGGCGGCGCCAGTCCCGGCGGCCTCCTGGGGATCCGCAGGGTTCTGTCCAGCCACTCGCCTCCTCCCCGCAAAATGTTGAAGGTCTGGTTCTCGGCCACGGGTCGCCGCCGCGGCGCCCGCAGCCCCTCCGGCGATGATCGCTTCCGCGGCTTGAATGCCCGACTCCCTCATGCGGCCTCCGAGCGTCGGCGGCCTCGGTGCATCGAGCCCGTCGTTGCGCAGGGCCTGGCCTGGATCCATGCCTCCGTCGTCACTGTCCGGCAGAAACGAGGGCCGGGTGAACTCCCTGGGCGGGCGGGGAAACGGAGTTCCGGAGTAGCCCTCATCTCCTGTTTCGAAAGCATCCGCTGGGTTCAACTGCGTGTGGGGCATGGGCGCCTCGCTGATGGGCTCGGGTGCATTGGGGTAATCATCCAAGTAGAAGTGGCTGGATGTGTAGATGCTCGCCTTGCGGTTGGGCAGGGGAATGTCGAGGGGTTCGCCCTCAGCTATGTAGCCGAGGACCAAGCACCCCGGCTCAAGTTGTTTTGTGCGAGTGGTGGGCGTAGTTTTGGGTAGTTTTTGCCATAGGCGCTTCCAGCTTCTCTTTGCCTCTGGAGCGTCTTTTTCATTCTTCTGCATAGCTGGCAGTGGCTGACACGCGTGCTACTTCAAGTTGCTCTACGGCCGAGAAGACTAGTTTTCTGCTTGATTTAGCCAAGCGCTGCTTTCTGCTTGCATTGCATGAGATTTCTTATTTGGTGGGCGTTTTGTCTTATCCTGGCATGGACGACGAGGACACAGAATCATACAGAAGCGCAGACGTTGCCACATTGCCTGATTCACAGGCCTCTCCTGACTCTGACAGCATGGATGATACCAGTGACTTTACCCAATTATACGACTCACGTCCAGTATCTCCAGAGTACTCAGGGACAGCAGAGACAGCAGGGATTGCTTTGGTGCAGCGCAGCGCAGCGCAGCGAGGTCCGACCTGGCGTCGGCCCCTTTCGGCAGCCATTACTCAACAATCCTTCGTTGATTTCCTGCGTATCACAGAGGTGCCGCTCTGGGCAGTCGTTGATTTTGGCACGCATCACTACTTCCAGCAATACACATCTTCTGGAGCAGACAGGACATCAGAACTTACGCAATTGCTGTCTGAAATTCGGGGATATGACATGTCAGCTACAATTGAGTTCTTTCTTCTCTTCCTTGAAGGGGATCACCTGGAAACATTCTATGAAGATCTGTGCTTGCAGATCTACTGGTCTCTTCGCGGGGGATCAAAAGGTCAGGGCCTCCTGGAATCGTTCCTTTATACCACCACGGGTAGTCATATTGATTCCACATATGATCCGGAAGCACGACCAACAAGAGCAGCTGACACCGTGCAGGCGATTATTGATGTTCTTGACTCGCCAGTATCCTCCCCGAATGTACATGGTGGTACAATCTCGCAGGTTTCGATGGATGGACATACAGAACTCTCTTCGCCCCTTGCAGATTGCGCGTCCAGCGCGCCAGGAGATACAGCAGATGATCTTTCCTCGGAAATTGAGACACAGTCTCTCATTCAGGGAGTGGCGCTCAGATCAGACATCACTCAGTACCTGCAAAGACAGCCTTCAGAGACGCTCGATGATGGTCAGCTGGCTTTGTATCTGCAGTTTCGGGGTATCTCCTTTGACGTTGTTATGGACTGGGGAACCTTCTTTTATCTCAGGCAATATGAGTATGACGATGAAGCCCAGAGCAGGGAGATCACGCAACATCTTCACGATGAACTTGCGTCCGAGAATATCCACGAAGCTTTGTGCTTTTTCCGCTACATGCTTGAGGGCCAAGATAAAGAACAATTTTATGTGGAGATTTACAAACAAGTTATCTATCGCATACGGTCCCATCCACGACCACCTTTCTTTGCGGATGCCCTGCGTGCAGACGCCGTTTTTGGGACGCTAAAAATCACAAACTAGTCCCATAAGGCTTTATAACCTTTTTGGTAGGTTTCGAAAGTTTTGAAGAAGTTTTTCGAAACCGCTTCATGTGTCATGAGATTCCACTTGAACTTTTACGAATCCTTGTTGTTCCGCGCATGCTCAAACATAGGGTGGGTGGGCGGGAACCTTCCGTGCAGCAAAGTTTGTACGGGGGGTAAAAGAGAGTTGTGTAGAACGCGGGCTCCGGGCCAAGCTGTGTGAAACAGGTTTCAGGCCCGTGAACCCCTGGTGTACCGCCTCAGTGGCACATGGGCAGCTTCTCTCGTGATGGCAGAGAAGAGGACGTTTGATGCTGCATTCGAAGGGCATCTTGCTCATGTTGTGCATCAGAATTCTACGAGCAACTCAAAGCAGCCATGGGAGAGAAGCATTGTGAATGTGCCGAGTGTATTGCCGAAAGCTTTCTTGGGAAGGGGGCGTCTTGGGAATGTGCTTACTCATACGGCTGCTGCTCCTGTGAAAGCTCCGAGTGGCCCGTCGGCTATAAATCTGACTGCTACTGGAGGCAAGCTGCCACGGAAGGTTGGACCTTCCTGGATTCAGAGACAATCGGATAACAGACATGCGGCTGTCATGAAGTGGCTTCGGATTGCTAAAGAGGGTGGCGACTTCTTTGGGGTCTGTGCTAGAGTGGCGGAAGATGCTGAAGCTGGATTGCCAGCCTCACTGCAGGAGTCTCTAGGAGATGTTTTCTCACTCAAGGCGAGCAGTACGCTTCACAGCAGGGCTGGCCCGGTCCTGAGATACATGGCATTCTGCTGGCGCATCAGAGAGCAGCCTTTCCCTTTGTCCGAGCAGAAGATGTATCGCTTCGTCAAGGAATACTGCAGTGGGGCTGCGCCTACCTTTGCCTCCAGCTTTATGAGTTCCATTGGCTTCATGCAATATGTCTTGGAGGCGAAGGTCCCGGCCGATTGTGTTAGCAGCCGGCTGGCTGGCGCAGTTTCGAAGCTCTACTTGGAGAAGAGAAAGCTGCAACAGAAGCCGCCGCTGACGGCTTCACAGATTCGGGCTTTGGAGCGAATTGTGCTGGGACTTATACCTGAAGTCCGTGCGGATGTCGATAAATACGCGGCAGGGTGCTTTTTGTATTGTGTGTTTGCAAGAGCCCGCTATTCGGACATGCAGTGTTCTGGTGAGCTGGCGAAAGACATCGTGCAAGGTGAGCGCGGACCGCGTGGGTACCTTGAAGCGAGGGTCACCAGGAGTAAAACGAGTCACAACTTGGAGCGTAAGACCCGATATCTTGCTATGGTCAGTCCGATATGGGGCCTTGAGCAGGATTCTTGGGCGTTGGCTTGGTTGGAGGTGGCTGGCAGGGCGGGGCCCGCATGGGGGCCTGACATGCCCCTGCTACCGTCCCCCACCGACGGTGGCCAATGGCAGAAGGCGCCTATGTCTGCGCAGGCTGGAGCGCGGTGGCTTCGCCACCTTCTCTATCGTGCAGGCGAGGATGTCGCATCGGTCAAGGCCGTGGGCACTCACTCCTGCAAAGCTACGCTTTTATCTTGGATGTCCAAGTGGGGAGCTAGTAAGGAGATCAGGTCGATACTCGGATATCATTCTAGTGCCAACGCCGGCACGGATGTGATCTACGCGAGGGACAGCGTTTCCCCTGCATTGCGTGAGCTGGAGGAAATGGTTTCTGCGGTCGCTTACAGGCGCTTCTTCCCGGACGCCACGCGCTCGGGCATGTTTGCGGAGTCTTTGGCTGCCAGGGGAGATGCTCATGACAAGGCCGAGGTCGGTTCAGATTCTTCTTCCGACAGGAGCGATGACGAGGAGGAGCCGGACACTCTCGAGGAGGAGAAGGTGGTTGAGGACAGTGTCGGCGATTTTGAGCCGAGCGGTTGCCTTCGAGAAAGCCTGGAGGGCAAGGCGGTTTTTCGGCATGTCACCACCCGCTTCATACACTTAGTCGCTTCTGAGGAGGGCACAACTTTTAAGTGTGGCAGGCAGATCACATCGTCTTACTTGGAGTGCAGTGCGATACCCAGGTTTTTGCATCCGATCTGCCGGCAGTGCTTTCCAGAGGCGAGGTGAGGGATCGTAGGCTGGCTGGCTGGAGTGCCGCCATGCGAATTTTTGTGAGCCTCTCATCGTGAGAGCCCGCGAAGGCGGGATGAATATGCGCACGGAATACAAGGAACGCTGTGCTCGGCATTGCAGTGGTCTCAAGAGCCCGGAGTCGCAAATGCCGCCTTGTGATTTCAAGTGAGGGTCGCTCGAGCTACTTTGAAGGTAGACCCGTGCTGAAGGAGTGAGCCATGGCTTCCGCATACTCAGAGTCCGAGCCGGTTCTGGTGTCGCGTCTCTCGAAGGCGGGGTTTGATCAGGCTGAGCGTGATCTCATCCTGAAGCACGTTAAGAGTTTGAAGCAGCTGGCCTTCGTGAGCTCTTTTGCTCCGGGGGCTGCGGACGAAGGTCCGTTGATCGAGGCCCTTAAGGCGATGCTTGGAAAGGACCCAGAGATGAGTCAGAAAGCAGCTTTCAGAGCCGTATTTCATGAAGCTTATGCCATTGTCACTTCGGAGATGCGACAGCAGGTCGAAAGGGTAGAGGAACCGACAGTTCGTCATTTGAGTCAGCCCGAGAGGGCTGAGAGAATTGAGCGCCAGCGTTCACAGTTGACTGGCATCACGATAAAAGGTTCCTCGGAACCATCAGAGGCCTTGGTCGACCTGTGCGTCGGTCAGTACGAGGCCAATGTGATTCAGTATGTGCCTTGGTCAAAGTGCACGTCGCGGGAACAAGAGCTCCTAGGCGACGGTAAGAAGGACCTGAAGCTTTCGATTGACGGCGAGAGTGGTAAGCTTAAGGTGGAAAACAAGGCCAAAGATCAGGTGGCCGATACATCCACTGAAGTGATGCTTCTGCAGGCCCTGCAGCGGCGTGCTCTTGCATTCGATCAAGCTAACATTGTCTCTTTCACAAAGCTTGACATGTGGCATCAGAAGTTGATGAAGGCGAGGCTGACTCCACCTCCGCCGGGTTACCAGCAAGTCACATTCACTCAGTTGCAGAATGCAGACTCGAGGCTCTTTCTGGAGCTTCAGGACCATACGCGCACAGGCATCCAGTCGGATGCCAAAGGTCGTCCGATCGATGGCATCATAGATTCAGTCAGCTGCATGCACGAGGTGGTGTCGTTGATGCAGCCGCTACAGGGCGGCCCTTCGTCTTCGTACGGTCCCAGTGAGCCTGCTCGACTGAGGGAGTCACCGTATAAAGGCAAAGGCAAGGGCAAAGATGGCAAAGGAAAGAAGCGCTTCGTTGCCATGCCGAGCGAGCTTCGTGGGTGCAATTCGCACACCGCGAAAGGACATCCGATCTGCTATGCCTTTAACCTGGGGTCATGCCCGAACAAGGTGACCGGCAATAAGTGTGAGAAGGGATTGCACATCTGTGCAGTCCCCAAGTGCGGCATGAACCACGCCGCTATCAAGTGTCCCAAGAAGCCGAAAGATGGCGAGCAGGCGGGCGCTTGACTATCAAGTGCGATCCTGGCCCCGAGTACGGAAGATTCGGTGGCCGGGTCTGGGAGTGGCGAAGGCCATTCTCGAGCAATCCAGGAAGTGCTTAAGGCCCATCCCGAAGGGGATGAGCCTCTTTTGAGTGCGCCCGAAGGGGCCCAAGCAATGCCATTTGAAGAGCAGGGATCGAACCCACTCGATCCAAAGGTTCATGCGGACTCTTATGCCGAGGAGCTTCTGTCTTTGGACAGGAATCCCACGGCCCAGGAGTTGATTCGTTTGTTTGACATGCTTCCTCAGGAGCCGCTTTTGAGCAAGACTCGTGACGATGGAGCCGCGGCCTTCTCGACTGGTGCCTACGTGAAGGGGCCTCTGCTCGGTCTCAGGAGTAACTGCAGCAAACATCCGGCGGCTTCAAAGATTTTCGCTCAGGCGGTGCAACGCGCTGCCCCGGGAATGAAATTTTCTACTCTGAGTGTGTTTTCAGACCTGAAGACGGAGCCTCATGTCGACCGCTTCAACTCTCCTTTCCCTAACATTCTTGTGCCACTCAGCAATTTTCGGAAAGGAGAGGTCTGGGTCGAGTCAGCTCAGGGCGTTTTTCCTTGTGAGGTCGATGGTGTTACGAAGCGCGGCATCTTGATCGATGTTGCCTCCGGACCGAAGGCCTTCTATGCTTGCAGCCATGTGCACGCTACACGGCCGTGGAGCGGCCGACGCGTAGTCATAGTTGGTTTTTGTATTGCTAGGGTTCAGGAGCTTGACGTGGACTGTAGGGCGCGCTTGGCTGAGCTTGATTTCCCTGTGCCCCAGACGCCGCCCAACTTCAGTCCGGATTTGATCGAGGTCAGGGGTACCTTCCATGACCTCAGAAGTTCTCAAGTGGATGCAGCCTGTGATGCCCTCCCGGCTCAACTGCAAGCCGCCTCTCTGCTGTGCCTTGACCTCTTTTGCAATGCAGGCGAGTTCGGGGCCTCCCTGAAGGCAGCCGGATTCGATGTGCTCGCGATCGAGCAACCGCACCTGAAGCAGAGAGCTTTGCTCAGCGTTGTGTCGCTGGATCTTAGGAAGGCTGCCTCTTGGGACTTCCTAGTTAAGGTTGTGCTCGCTAGGAGGGTCGTCTTCGTGCTTGCCGCCCCCACTGTGGCCGCCTCTTCAGGCGACCTTCCCGAAGGTTTTGCCCAGGTGGCTTCCGAGCTCAGCTCATTCTTGGCATTGCTCGCCACTCTTGATATCGGATGGGGAGTCCTGAATCCGCTAAGCAGCCGGCTGTGGGCGACTTTGGCGCTGCCTGCCTCGCATGTCGTAAAGTTCGACCTGCTTGCCCATGGTGGCGAGCAACACCAGCACATGCTGTTGCATACTAACGTCCAGACTTTGAGCGCCCTTGCTGTGCCGTGTGACGAAAGTCAGAAACCTCTTAAAACTTTCCGGTCAGTGACTTCCCTGCGGGACAGACCGCGTTTGTTGTGCAGTCGGTTCGCCGCCCAGATAGTTGTTTTCGCGGGGACCCTAGGGTTTGCTGTGTCTCCTGATGCCGTCAAGCCGTCGGCCAATCATCGGTCTTCCATTGCAGTGCAACGCCAACCCAAGGTTTCCAAGGCGCCGCCGCTCATGCCTGAATACAAGCATCGTGTCACTTTGCAGGTTCCATCCATGGATGCTCTCAGGTATGATGCCAAAAATTCCTTGACGGCCGCTTTTCAATCGGTGCCTGTTGGTGCCCGCATCCTTCAGGTGGTGCCTGTGCAAGGGGGCGAGGGTCCTTCAGGTTCGGGCTTTAGGGTTACTTTTGGGGTTTACAGAACCGAGGATGAGTTCGTCAGGACAGCAGTCACTCTGTCCCATCCTTTCGACTTGTCTTCGGCAGTGCCAGATGAGATGCTCGAGATTCTTGCGTTCACTCTCACCAAAGGGCCGTTGGCTGTCATGAGGCATCGCTTGGACACCTTGACGAAATGGAAAAAGTGGTCTCAGGAACTTCGTGGAGCAGAGGCCTCCTTGCACGCGAGGCTTCACCCAGATGTCGAGAAGATAGTTGCACGCAAGAACTTGACTCTCCTGCGACGTGTGGCTGAAGACTTGCAGTGGCCTGATGCCACGATAATCGACGACATCGAGAACGGCTTTGAGCTTGTGGGTGAGGCCAAGGTTACAGGCATCTTCGAGGTGGATCCGAAACCCTCTTCGATGTCCGTGGACGAGTTGCTTGATCATGCGAAGTTCTTGAAGCCAGCCCTGTGGGGCAAGGTGTCGGGAGATGCGAGCCACCCGGATGATCAGGAGCTCTGGGATCTCACTTGTGCTGAAGCCGATGAGAAAGGCTGGTTGCATGGGCCCTACACGTGGGAACAACTGCAGAACATGTTTGACTCAAAGTGGATACCTGTGCGCAGATTCTCCATCAGGCAAAAGAACAAATTGCGACCCATCGACGACCTGTCCGAGAATGCCGTCAATCAAGCTTGGACAGTGATGGAGAGGATAGGTTTGCGCGCGCTTGATGAAATCACTTGGGCCTGTATGGCTTTGATGAGGGCCAGCTTGGGCCGACGCGAAGTTTTCTTCCGGAAATCCGACGGCTCTGTTTTGTCTGGTCCTTTGCATTCGTATTGGCAGCAAGACACTCGTCGTTGCTCGCCGGTCTTGAAGACTACGGATCTGCGCTCAGCTTATAAACAGTTTGCTATCCGGCCAGGACATCATCGGATGTGCGTGGTGACCTTGAAGGATCCAGCGGACGGCTTAACAAAGGGATTCGTCTGCCGCGTGTTGCCGTTCGGGGCTTTGGCTTCGGTCGGGCAGTTCAACAGGTTTTCGAGGCTGTGGCAAAGGATTCTCTGGGAGCTGAAGCTCGCTGCGGCGAGCTATTTCGACGATTTTCCGTCGGTGGAGGTCAGGGCCCTTGCCGAGAACCATGATTCCTCAGTGAAGGCAGCGCTGCGACTTTTTGGAGTTGACTGGGCGAGCGACAAGGACCTTCCCTTCTCGCAGACAGCCGACGTCTTGGGCGTCCGACTGGACGCGACTGACACGGAGGGCGGAGTGCTGAGGGTCAGAAACAAGCCTGAGAGATCCAAGGAAATTGCTTCTTCGATCGACAAGATCCTTGCGGATGGCTGTATTGATCCAAAGCAGATCCCCTCTTTGTTTGGCCGGATACAGTTTTCGGAGAGTCAGTTGATGGGCCGACAGGGACGCTTGGCTTTGGCTCAGATTCGCTGGCTTTCGAGTGCTCGTCACCGTCACGTTCTATCTTCTTTGGACGCTACTGTCTTCAGAAGCTTGAGGGAGAGGATGCTTGAGGGCCGGCCACGCGAGATCCAGGTTCTTCCCGTTGGCGGCCAGACTCTCGTTTTCACTGATGGTGCATGCGACAAGCTGGGCGACAAGTTTAGCTGCTCAATCGGAGGTGTCATGTATCGGGTGCTTCCAACTGGTTCCTATGAGACGAGGGCGTTCGGGTGCTACCTGGACGAATCGGTCGTCGAGCAATGGGCGGGACTGGGGAAGAGACACTTGATAGGTCCTACCGAGCTTTTCGCGGTGGTGGCGGCCCGACATGTCTGG